TTAAATAAGAGCCTTTTGACACGTTGGGTTTCAATAGGTTGAGAAAGTTTACATGTTACAGGGTCAATCGAATAGTTATGTCGTGGAACCGTGTCCACCTTGCAAGGTGGACACAGTTCTATGTTTATAATTACTAAACTATATGTTCATTATTATAAAGCTATATATTCATAATTTTTGAACTTCATATTCATAAGTACGTATTGAACTCTATATTTATAATTACAGAACTCTAAATTCATAGTTACTGAACTATATGTTCATAATTATAAAGATATATATGCATAATTTTTAACTTCATATTCACAATTATTGAATCTCTATATTCATGATTACATAACTATATGTTCATAATTATGTTCACAACACTATGTTCATAATTATAGAACTATATGTTCATAATTTTTTGAATTATATATTAATAATTATGAACAATTTTTGAACTGTGTCTACATTGCAAGATGGACACATATCCACAGCATAATTTGTCAGGTTAATAGTACTAAAATAAAAAAAATAAAAAAATAAAAATAAAAAAGTCTCTGGACTTCTCAATACTTGCCCATATTGATGGGCAAGCAATTATATGTTTGTAAATGCCCCTCTTATATAGAGGAGTTTAAGAGCTCATCTTTCCAAACATTTTCAATGTGGAATCAAAATGATCCCACATCATTTACAAAGGGAAGCCACCTTTGTCTTCTTCCTTTTTTATTTATTTATTTATTTATTTTAAATTTATTTTGTATATAGTTTTGTTTGGATTATTAAATTTGTTGTTATTGTTATTATTATTATTGTTATTGTTATTGTTATTGTTATTGTTATTATTTTTATTTTATTTTTATTTTTTTATTATTACATTATTATATAGGATTTTTTTTATACTTGAACAATAATATTATCAATTATATTATTATATTATAGAATATAATACCATACATAATGTTACCAATTATGCAATATTACCAATTAATAGATTTTTTTTTTAATTTCCATTAGACATTTACTTACCAAATAACCTTTACTACAAAAGTTTGGGCGGGAAAATGAAATTGGATGATTTTGTTGTTTTTTTTTTTTTTTTTTTTTTTGTTTTTTTTTGAAAAGGGATGATTTTGTTTTTATATAATAATAATAATAATAATAATAATAATAATAATAATAATAATAATATATAATATATAATATATATAGATTAATTATTACCCTAATACTTAATTTATAATTCTGATTTTAAAATTCTTCTTATTATTATTAACATTAACATTTGATTAGTTTTATAAAAAAAATGTAAATTCTAAAATTTGTATGAATAAATTTAAACTCTAATCCGACGCATTTCCTTATATGATTGTATAATTCATTTTATATACGCATAATATTTATTAAAATGAAAATAGGAAAATTCTATAATATAATTTCATTAATTATAATTTATATTGATAGATTTATAATTAAAAAATTACATTTAAAAATTTAAAAAGTTGCATTTAAATTTTACATGATTATTATAGTGCATAAGTGTATGTATGATTAGAAATATTCATGTTTTGTTAATTTAATAATTTCATTTCTTTAATTATATTTGATATTTTATTAATTGTAATTTAACTAAATTGTCACAAATATTTCTAGGGAAGAAATCTTATATTTCTCAATTTCTTTAATTATATTAATTATAATTACCAAATATTGTGACAATTACCATAATAATTTCATTAATTATATTAATTATAATATTTGTAATAATCTCTTCCAAAATTTAAATACATTACCATAATAATCACACAAAATAATGAAAGAAAAATTATCAAAATAATTATCTTTAATAAAAATAAGGAAATTATATTAAAAATTAATTATATATTAAGATAAGTATAATTTTTTTCATGCCAATATATTATACATTAAGTATAAAAATATATATATGTATATAAATTACCATAATAATTACACCAAAAAAGGTAACAATATATAATTATTAGGTAATAATATTAATAATTAATTATTAAGATAAGTATAACTTATTTTGTACTAATAATATTATCCATTATATATATATATATATATATATATATATATATATATATATATATATATATATATATATATATATATATACTTTTAATTTTATATTGATAACCATAGTCTATGTATATATTTTAAGAAAATATTCATTATTAAAGATTAAAGATGAGATATAATTTAAAAAGTAAGTTATTTATTAGATTACCTAATATAATTGTCTTACTAATTGATTCAATGCTACTATGTATAATTCATATATTTGAAAACTTTTTAAATCGAAATATCCATTAATTGCCTTAATAATTAAAATAATTGTTAGTCAATCAATATTCAATAGTACTAAAAGTATTATTTGAATTTTTATACATAAGATATAATATTATTAAATCGAAATAATTAAAAATAATGTGTCCATATTACAAAAAATTTTATAATAGTAATTTTTATTGCATAATAGAATTTGACAATTATTAAACATTGTTTATGGTAATTATTGTATGACTTTTAATACTAAAATTATTAGGTAGAATTTTTATAATTAAGGTATAATATTCTTAAGGTAAAATATTGCTTATATATGGTTTACCCGTATTAACCATCACTATATTAAATTAATAAATAATTCTTTTAATATAATAATATAATATATTATTAAATCTAAACATATGATTAATATTTATTCAATATTATTACAGAAGTATTACAATTATAAATTTTACTCCGTATTAAATTTTAAATGGCTTAGCATATCGAAGCAAACATGGTAAGTCAATAACATTATTTTACATTAGTAAAGTGATTTTATATCAAGGAATGTCAGATGAAGAATAAAATCAAAATAATACTCTATTGAAAAAAAAGTCACAGTACTTAATCATTTTTTTCCTAAAAAAAAAAAAATTTAAATGGCAAGAAAAACGTCTTGAAGGGAAAGACAAACTACTCTCTTATTACAAAAAATGTACACTTTAAAAACGGAGAAATTGAATCGAAACAAAGTCCAATGCTTTGATATATTGACAACTAAAAAATGCTTTTAATTTCATTTTGGTTTTTATTGTATTCTTTGTATGGTTCCCTCTATAAGTCTATATATATTTACATATACACATAATTCGTCCCTCGATCACAAAACTTTATCATCTTGATGAGCAATGAACTCTTTTGCTTCCCGATCAATCTTTCTAGATCTGTATCTTCTCCACAAAAAAAAACGACAAAAAAAAAATATATCAACATTTTTTCTTATGAACCACTTTTGTTGTTTAAAAACCATAAAATACAAAAAAATAAAAACAAAACAAAATCCAAAAAGAAGAAAAAATAAAAGAAACTAAGATGATGAAAACCTCACCAATGTAAATCACGTATCAACCTCAACTGTGGAAGATCACATGATGATTAGAAGTCTATTGCTTCCCGGTCAATCTTTCTAGATCCGTATAGTATCTTATCCACAAAAATAGACCAAAAAAAAAAGAAAATATATCAAAATTTTTTCTTACGAACCACTTTTGTTGTTTAAAAATCAAAAAATACAAAAAAATAAAAACAAAACAAAACCCAAAAAGAAGAAAAAATAAAATAAACTAAGATAATGAAAACCTCACCAGTGCAAATCACGTATCAACCTCAACTGTGGAAGATCACAGGATGATTAGAAGTCTATTGCTTCCCGATCAATCTTTCTAGATCCGTATCTTCTCTACAAAAATAGACAAAAAAAAAAAGAAAAGAATATATCAACATTTTTTCTTACGAACCACTTTTGTTGTTTAAAAATCAGAAAATACAAAAGAATAAAAACAAAATAAAATCCAAAAAGAAGAAAAAATTAAAGAAACTAAGATAACGAAAACCTCACCAGTGCAAATCACGCATCAACCTCAACTGTGGAAGATCACAGAATGATTAGCAAAAATCAATAAAATAATTAACCTTAGTTGGGGTTGTGTATGGTCATATAAGGTGTATTTATACACAATGGATGAGATCAAAAGGGTTTAGTATTGAAATTATAAAATGGTAAGAGATCTCAAGAAAGGTAAAATCTTTAATATTATTAAAATGCCATATTTGTCTAGATATTTGATATTACAAAAATGCCTCTAAGTTTTGGGGGGAAAACTTGGCTAGGAGGATTTTACTTTTATATATATATAGATATAGATTATTTTACAATTTCAACAAAACTACTAAATTAAAATGTCATGAGATTTACCTGGTGCACACCTTGGAGTAGTGATTATAGGTGTTTTCCTCATCACCTGAAATGTCTTTATAAGATTTTTACAATGCCATAAATTACAATGTTGGGTATTTTACAAAATTATGTCTCTATAAGTTATATTCTCTTTTGTGTATTTTTTGAGAAAAAAAAGTCAAATAGATCCATAAACTTTAAAAAGTCAATTAGGCTCTACCTTAAACTTTCAAAAAATTACAATTAAACTCATAAACATGTTATTTTGAAGCATTTAAGCCTAGAAACCGGTTGATAATTGTAATTACAGGTTAGCTAAGATTTTGGCGACATTTCCTACACTTTTCGGCAATAATCACCGATTATCCGATGTTCGCTGATCGCGTTACCTAAGATTATGGAGACATTTCTTACACTTTTCGGCAATAATCACCGATTATCGGACGTTTACCGATCACGTTACCTAAGATTCTGGAGATATTTCTTACACTTTTCGACAATAATTACCGATTATCGGACGTTCACCAATTGCGTTTGGTGGAGGTGACCAACTTGTCTGCCTTCTCCTTCGCCTGAGATGGTCGCCTTCTCCGGCGAAGGACTGGTCTCCTTCTCCGAAATACATAAATGGTTATTATTACTAGTTAATAGTAATAGCACCTAAATGGTTTTTTTTTTTTTGTTTTTTTTTTAAAGGTAAAATACATATTTTATCATTAGACCTAAAAAAGAAGAAAAAGTTGTAAAATAACAAGCCCATGGCAAGTTAGAACAGAAGAATAAATTAGAGTTTTAGTTTAACACAACATTTTCCCCTTTCTCGATTTGGTCTCTCTCCAAAAAGTAAAACCCTCACTGCCCCAACAACACTGTAGACTAGACGAGACTCTTTCTTCCTCTTCCTCCATGGATCTGCAATTCCTTCCTACCATCTCCTTTTGAAGCTCAGTTAAGCTCAATCAATCACTCCAACCAGCGATCAGACTTCATAATTGCATTTCCTTCAAGCTCGCAGCTGGGGCGGAAGTTGTAGCAGGGAAGAAGAGGGAAGTTTTGTTGTTTTGTGGTTTTGTTTTTACAACATTTTGATGAGTAGCAGTGATAATTAGAGTGAAATCTGGGGAATTAAATTTGAACGATGAAGATCCCGAGTTGTTCCGTGTGCCAGAATTCGTACAACGAGGAGGAGCGGTGCCCGCTGTTGCTCCAATGCGGCCACGGCTACTGTCGGGAGTGCCTTTCCAGATTGTTCTCGGCGTCTCCGGACACCAACTTATCGTGTCCCCGCTGCCGCCACGTGTCCCTTGTTGGCAACTCGGTTACTGCCCTCAAGAAGAACTACGCAATCCTTGCTCTAATCCGCGACTCCTCCGCCAGGGATTCCAGTGACGAGGAGGAGGAGGAGGAGGAGGAAGATGGGGGGGAGGATCTTCGTGATAATGGAGGAGGCAGGGAGGAGCGGGAGCTGGACCGGAGACGCAAATCCCGCTCAGCTTTGAGCTCCGGGTGCGGGGTTGAGGCTGGAGGGAGGATAGAGCTAACTGCACACCCGGAAGTGAGATTAATTAGGAGGATTAGTGGGGAGACTAAGAAGCCTGGAGTGGAGATTTGGGCGGCGGTGGTGCTGGGCGACCACAGTGGTGGTCGGCGGGAGCGGTGCCGTCACAGGGTTGTGGTTAAGAAGGTGACAATAGGAGAGGAGATGGATCTAGTTTGGGTACAGGAGAAGCTGGAGAAATTGAAGAGGGGATCCATGTGGTGTAGAAATGTGTGTGCTTTTCACGGTGTAACAAAGATCGACAGCAGTTTGTGTTTGGTTATGGATAGGTGTAAGGGTTCTGTCCAAACTGAGATGCACCGGAATGAAGGCCGCCTCACACTTGAGCAAATCCTCAGGTATATTATTTCCTCTTCAACTTTTTATTAGAGGTTCTTATGCAAACACTATCCTCTTCACCTCTTCAGTAATCAAGGTTGAATACACACGCCAATAGGAGAATCTAAGGGTTCCTAGATAGTACATTAGCACTTTGATAGTAGATTCTTGAGATGGTGAAAGGACAGTGCACTAGTCTCAAGTTCTGTTGCCCTTTCTTTGAATGAGTATATTTCACAGCACATAAATCAAGGAGAACCTTGGTGATGGCAATGTAATGCTTACAACAGCTTTGATCGTTTCCTTTACGTGCTCCTCTAATGAATCAATCTTTTCTTGCCAAATGAAATGCTCATAAATTTTGGAATATATTGTCCGTTATGTTATGCCTCATTTTATGGTACCATTTGTGTGAGTAGTCAAATACTCACATAAAGTATGGTAACACAGGATGCAACAAACAAAAAGGCAAGCTGATCTGCCTGCTTTCTTATCAATCGATGGCGAGAATTATTATGATTTCTTTTTCAATTTTTAGTTATTACTACTCAGATACCTTGAAGTGTGGTGATTTACCACATTGTAATAAATTTCCGGAATAATGACAAGCAACTCTTCAATTAAAAGTTCTTGATTTAGGAATGCGATGTGTAGTTTCTTAAGTTGGAGATGAGATTGCTATTGGACTATTGGTAGTCAATAGCCTATGAATGCCATTGTACTGGAGTATTTTATTCCTAAAAGCCATCTTAGCAGTCTCCTTTCACAATAGGCTGATAACTGCTTTCAGATTTAAAGACATTGCAGTTTTAACCATTTATCATTAATATACTGATATACTCCCTACCTATAAAAATGAATGTGTTTTTTCCTTTTTAGGCCATTGGAAACTGTAAAGTAAACCAATGTTTCCTTCCTCGAGAGGAAACTTTTGTCCCCCTCTTGCACCTTTATGAACTAAAAGGCTTGATTATCGGAATACTCATTATCCAGCATCTAATGTACTAATGATATACCATGTCTCTGCCATTCAGAAGGCTCAAATATGGACTATAAACTAAATTATGAGAAAGAGAGAAGTAAATATGAGGAACAGGAATTAAGTGAGGTTTAACTTGCACATGGTTAAATGATTGTCATATATGATTATAGATACTAAACCATTTATTTTATAGTTGGGTAGTAGGTGCCTAATTTTTATATATTTCATGACAAATGTAAAAATATGATGATGATTTCAATGTGGCATGTTAGTTTATTATTTCAGTAGTCTGTTAGATACTGCACTTCTGAGGCAGCCTAGCATCGGACATAACCAATTCTTAATGTGCTGTGGTTGATGCTCTAGATTTGGTATTTTATGAAGGCCCTAGCCTTGATGTATCATTGATATTTAATGCAGATATGGGGCAGACATTGCTCGTGGGGTGGCTGAACTACATGCAGCTGGTATTGTTTGTATGAATATAAAACCATCCAATCTTCTCTTAGATGTGAATGGTCATGCAATGGTTTCAGACTATGGGCTTCCAGCAATTCTAAAGAAACCTGCTTGCCGGAAGGCTCGATTAGAGTCCGAGTCTTCAAAAATCCATTCATGCATGGATTGCACAATGCTTAGCCCAAACTACACTGCTCCTGAAGCGTGGGAGCCAGTAAAGAAATCATTGAATCTTTTTTGGGATGGTTCCATTGGAATATCTCCAGAGTCGGATGCCTGGAGCTTTGGATGTACATTGGTGGAAATGTGCACCGGTTCAATTCCGTATGTGGACTAGCTTCTTTAATTTTATGTTTTTCAGCTCGTCTTCTTCCCGATTTTACTGTGAGTAGCATCATTGCTTGAAGATACAATGGCCAATCTTAATGCAGGTGGGCTGGCTTAAGCACTGAAGAAGTATATCAGGCTGTTGTGAAGGCACGGAAACAACCTCCTCAGTATGCAGGTGTAGTGGGTGTTGGTATACCTCCAGAGTTGTGGAAGATGATTGGTGAATGTCTGCAATTCAAGGCTTCAAGAAGACCGTCCTTTAATGCAATGTTGGCAATATTTCTTCGCTACTTGCAAGGAATTCCACGTAGTCCTCCCGCAAGCCCTGATAAGTAAGAATATTCTGTCATAGTATTCTCTTGTTAAGAATCTAATACGGAGTATGGTATTTGCAAAATCACTTTGTAACTTCATATTGCAACCTCTTGCTAGTAAAATAAATAACTTAGTATGATGTCAACATGCTTTATTTCTAAATAAACTCTATTGTGTTTATGAGATGCGTGTGTGTGACTTGGTGAATGATGATTACTTAGTCACAGCAACTTTAACTATTAAAAATGCAGCGACTTCAATCAGTATTCTGGAACCAATGGGATGGCTCACCCTTTGGCATCAGATTTGGAGGTTTCCCTGGATGTTAACAGTCTTCTGCATAGATTTGTTTCTGAAGGGAATTTAAATGGAGTTCGGTTGGTCTTCTTACTATATTTTGCTATGCTACAAGTTACGGAGTATTTTTTTTAATTGTGCTTCACATTTTGTTACTTATCCATTGCATGCAGAGAATTGCTTGGAAAGACTCACAAAGGGCAAGGTGGCAACTCGGTACGTTCTCTACTTGAAGCACAAAACCCTGATGGCCAAACTGCTCTCCATCTTGCTTGTAGACGGGGTAGTGTGGAACTTGTAGAGGCTATTCTAGAATACACAGAGGCAAATGTTGATGTCCTGGACAAAGATGGTGATCCTCCACTTGTATTTGCTCTGGCAGCTGGATCGCCTGACTGTGTTCGTGCTCTTATCAAGAGACAAGCTAATGTCCGTTCTAGATTGAGGGAAGGGCTTGGCCCATCTGTTGCCCATGTTTGTGCCTACCATGGACAACCAGATTGCATGCGTGTAGGTTTCTTGGTTTTGCGTTACTTAACTAATTTATTGGGATAAACTGGGTACAAATGATGTATGTAAAAACAATTGAGCCTTTATTTTTCTTTTTCTTTTTCTTTTTCTTTTTGTTTTGTTTTGTTTTGTTTTTTTTTTTTTTTTTTTTTTTTTTTAACAAGTAAAGAGTGTGTGGTAGTGAAAACAATAGAGAGGTTGAGGAAGGAAATCTAGAATCTAGGAAACATGGTATAGAAATCTCTAGCTAAGTCCCTAATATGCATTCTCATAATCTCCTTGAAAAAAGAACTTTTGGTGATTGTTTTCCCATGGATTTTGCTTGTATTACTTCATTTCTCTTCCTTGTTCAAATGCTTCCTCTCATTCTAACAGGAGTTATTACTGGCGGGAGCTGATCCAAATGCAGTTGATGACGAAGGTGAATCTGTGCTTCATAGAGCTGTTGCTAAGAAATTCATAGACTGTGCTATTGTCATTCTAGAAAATGGAGGCTGTGAATCAATGGGTATCATGAACTCAAAAAGTTTGACGTAAGTGCAGATGCCGCTTTCTCTCTGTTTTGTCTAACAATAACTTCCGATTAGTTCCATGAATGAAGTTAACTTCTCAAGTCTAATCCGTCTTCCTGAATTATGATATATACTAAATGTTTTGAAATTATCAAACTATGCCTAAAGTGAAATATTAGAACTTAAAAGAGGCAGATCTGGAAAAGAACAGAAATCAATGATAGACACCATTTTTAACCTGAAGGAAATCTAAATAGCTCACTACCCAACTACCCAATGGTCTCAACAAACTGTTATATATTGCAAATGTTCTGTGTCTTAGTGCCCCCACCCCACAACCTCTTTGCATTGGTTTCCCTTGTGCTACTTATGTGTTTACACAAGAAACCCAAAAGGGTGACATCCATCTCTAAGATGTAGATAGTAGATATCAAAGCCAAAGCACCTGTTAAGGCTAGAATCTTGTATGGTGTTTTTATATAGTGTTTAATGAATCTTTGCGTCAACATTTACACTTTATGTTTCCTTCTCCTTATTACAAGTTTGAGAGTGCTACCTTTTTAAGACTTCTATTTAACAGACCACTACACTTGTGCATAGCAACATGGAATGTTGCTGTTGTCAAAAGATGGGTAGAACTTGCATCTAGTGAAGAGATAGTTAGTGCCATTGATATTCCAAGCCCTGTTGGGACTGCATTGTGTATGGCTGCTGCTTTGAAGAAAGATCGTGAACCAGGTAGAGCGTGGATTGGAAATTACTGTTATTATCTAAATTGGTTACTATCACTAATAACCTTAGAGAACTTTTGGACTATGAGTCCCTTAAAATCTATCTCATTTGTTCTTTGTAGAGGGGAGAGAACTGGTAAAAATACTTTTAGCTGCTGGAGCAGATCCAACTGCTCAAGATACCCAGCATTTTCGAACAGCTCTGCATACTGCTGCTATGATCAATGATCTTGAGTTGGTCAAGGTAGGCCAGATCTGGAATGGATAGGCTTGTTACCATAATTAAATGACTTCCAGTTCCATCAGGATCTGGAAAGCTTATGCTCAATGGTTCATAAATTGTTGGTGTATGTCTTTGCTAATTTAAGTAGCACGTATAATGATTTTTAGATCATTCTCGACTCTGGAGTTGATGTAAACATCAGGAATGTGCACAATACCATACCTCTTCATGTGGCACTGAATAGAGGTGCAAAATCATGTGTTGGGTTGCTTCTATCTGCTGGGGCAAATTGCAACTTGCAGGTCTGTGATTAGATATTGTGATCTCTACAACAATCAGAATACATTTTAAATTGTTATATGATTTATCCATATAATATAATCACTTCTAGATATTATGCACTTGATTTTTTTCTGTCATGATCCATTCCATCTGTGGTATTCCAGATGCCTAATGAAGTTGCTTTACCTTCAATAATGATCCATTCAGTTTTGATTATTTCAGCTGCATCATGGTGTTTTCCTCCCTTCCTAGTTTTTCACTCTAATATGCAAATTTTCATTTCTCGTTAATATCAGGACGATGAAGGAGACAATGCTTTCCATATTGCAGCTTTTTCAGCAAATATGATACGCGAGAATCTTGAGTGGATTAGCATCATGCTTAGGCATCCTGATAGTGCAGTTGAAGCTAGAAATCACAGGTCAGAGTGTGATACCCAACCAGTGGTATTGCTTATTATTATTATTATTATTATTATTATTATTATTTATTATTATTATTATTATTTATTTTTTTGTTGTTGTTGTTATTTCTACTACTATTACTACTTTTGGGTCATCTTTTATTGGGCATAATAGCCTGTTCTATTCTTGCGACTTGCTTTTTACATTATTAGTTAATTATTGCAGCGGCAAAACATTACGTGACTACTTAGAAGCTTTGCCTCGTGAATGGATTTCTGAAGATTTAATGGAGGCTCTTATGGAGAAGGGAGTTTATTTGTCTCCAACAATGTGAGATGTTTTGTGATAATTTTTCTACTTCCATCTTTTTATTTCAGTTGCCAAGCGTGTTGGATTTGACTTGTGCTTTGAATATGGTCCATTTGGTATATAGATATGATATAGGAGACTGGGTGAAATTTAAGAGACGTGTCACAACACCTAGCTTTGGCTGGCAAGGTGCAAAACATAAGAGTGTGGGTTTCGTGCAAAATGTCCTGGATAAGGACAATCTCATTGTTTCCTTTTGCTCTGGAGAAGGCAAAGAAGCCCGAGTACTAGCAGATGAAGTTGTCAAAGTGATTCCACTAGACAGGGGGCATCATGTACGGCTTAAGCCTGATGTCAAAGAACCAAGGTTGACCTCTCTACTATAATGGTGCTGTTTGCCACTTCTAAATTGGATGAAATTTTGCATGATATGTTTTTCTTCATTGCCTTTAAGTTCTGAAACCCTGGCATCACTGCACTAGGTATTGGTTAATTCTGTGAAGGCATGCCAATTATAATGTTGATTATTTACCATACATCAAATGTGCTGCAGATTTGGTTGGCGTGGCCAGGCACGCGACAGTATCGGAACTGTATTGTGTGTTGATGACGATGGTGTTCTTCGTGTTGGGTTTCCTGGAGCATCTAGAGGATGGAAAGCTGATCCTGCAGAAATGGAACGGGTGGAGGAATTCAAGGTTGGGGATTGGGTTCGTATTCGTCCCAATCTTACATCAGCTAAACATGGATTAGGATCCGTAACTCCCGGAAGCATTGGTATAGTATACTGCATACGACCAGATAACAGTCTGTTGTTGGAACTATGCTACCTTCCTCACCCATGGCACTGTGAGCCAGAGGAAGTTGAGCCTGTTGAACCATTCAGAGTAAGATCAAATCCTCTTTTGTTTTACTTTTGAACTTTATTTTTATTGTTTACCTGTATCATTGTTTACTTTGAGTGCTACTCTTCCACAGATTCATGATCGGGTCTGTGTGAAGCGATCTGTTGCTGAACCAAGATATGCTTGGGGTGGGGAAACACATCACAGTGTTGGAAGAGTAATCGATATAGAGGCTGATGGTTTATTGATTATTGAAATTCCCAACAGGCCTATACCATGGCAGGCTGACCCTTCTGACATGGAAAAGGTCGAGGATTTCAAGGTATGGTTTGTGCTATGTCAAGTATATTTCCTTTTCATATGAGATATATTTTCAAATGTTCTCTTAACATAACCAGGTAGGTGACTGGGTCAGAGTAAAGGCTTCAGTAACCTCACCAAAGTACGGTTGGGAGGACATAACGAGGAATAGCATTGGTGTAATCCACAGCTTGGAAGAGGATGGTGATGTGGGAATTGCCTTTTGCTTCAGGAGCAAACCATTCTCTTGTTCAGTGACTGACATTGAGAAGGTGTCTCCTTTTGAAGTTGAACAAGAGATTCGTGTAATGCCATCTGTTACTCAGCCAAGGCTTGGATGGTCAAATGAGACACCGGCTACTGTAGGAAAAATTGTGAGAATTGACATGGATGGTACTTTGAATGTAAGCCTACTACTCTCTTGGCCATGTTTCCTTGGTAAAGGAGGGAAAACCTTTGCCCATGTCTCAAATATGATCTACACAAGGCCTCTTAATCTATTAACCAATCTTATTAAAATTGAACCACAGGCCAACATGTGAGTATTGAATTTTTGGTTTACCTGGGTTCAACTATAGGGTCAATGGTTTAACTACAAATTTTTTAATAATATATAAAAATATTTTTAAAATACATAATTATATATTTTACTGTCAATAATAATAATAAAAAAAAAAGTTAAATCAATTTATCATAGTATGTAGCCAATTATTCCTCTTTTGCTTTTAGTGACCTTTGAATTTTTCAGGCCACCTAAATTAAATCCAGTTTGTAGTTCGTTTTTTAAAAACAAATCCTGCAGTTGATCCTCCGGTTTGTTTGCATATTCGGTATTTTAATAAGACCATACTGATGTTTTGCTACTTCCCCATGAAAAGAGAGGGAGGGGGTGGAATGAGAAGTTTCTTCATATAGTTGCAATCTTCCATGTGAGTAGATTGTCAAACCTCATTTTGATCAAATTGTTTAAATTGCTGATGTGTTGATCCTTTTAGGCTACTGTTGCTGGGAGACAAAGTTTCTGGAAGGTGTCTCCTGGAGATGCAGAATTACTTCCAGGATTTGAAGTAGGTGATTGGGTACGTTCAAAACCAAGCTTGGGGGCAAGGCCCAGTTATGACTGGTACAGCATTGGGAAAGAGGGCTTAGCTGTTGTACATAGTGTACAGGATACTGGTTATTTAGAGCTGGCTTGTTGCTTCCGGAAAGGGAGGTGGATTACTCATTACACTGATGTTGAAAAGGTTTGTGGTTTTCGAGTTGGGCAGCATGTTAGGTTTCGGGCTGGACTTGTTGAGCCAAGGTGGGGCTGGAGAGGTACTCAACCAGATTCACGGGGTGTGATAACAGGTGTTAATGCTGATGGTGAAGTGAGGGTCGCATTTTTTGGTTTACAGGGTTTCTGGAGAGGGGATCCTGTTGATCTTGAGATAGAGCAGATTTTTGAAGTAGGGGACTGGGTGAAGTTGAGAGAAAATGTGCAGAGTTGGAAATCAATTGGGCCAGGGAGCATTGGAGTTGTGCAAGGCATTATTTACGAAGGAAATGAATGGGATGGAAATATATCTGTGGCTTTTTGTGGAGAACAAGATCACTGGGTGGGGCATTACAGTCATATTGAAAGAGTGAATAAGATCCTTGTTGGTCAGCGGGTTAAGGTAAAAAACTGTGTAAAACAGCCAAGATTTGGGTGGTCAGGACATAGTCACGTGAATGTTGGAAGTATATCAGGAATTGATGGAGATGGAAAGCTGAGAATCTATACGCCAGCAGGGTCAAAATCATGGATGCTGGATCCTTCAGAAGTAGATGTTGTGGAGGAAGAGGAAATTCGAATTGGTGAGTGGGTTAAGGTGAGGGCAAGTGTTTCAACCCCAACACACCAGTGGGGAGATGTTAGTCATTCAAGCATTGGGGTAGTGCACCGGATAGAAGATGGGGGAGATGTTTGGGTGGCATTCTGCTTTCTGGATAGGCTATGGATTTGCAAGGCATGTGAACTGGAAAGGATTAGACGGTTTAAAGTTGGGGACAAGGTGAAGATCAGAGAAGGGCTGGTGGCACCTAGGTGGGGATGGGGAATGGAGACTCACGCAAGCAGAGGTGAGGTGGTTGGAGTAGACGCAAATGGGAAACTGAGGATCAAGTTCCAATGGCGAGAAGGGAAACCTTGGATTGGGGACCCTGCTGATATTGTTATTTACGAGCCCCAGCCTTGTACTAATGCTCCTGCATAAACAAACATTTTGTTATCTTTTTTAGCCTTGAGGTCATGCCTCGGTCGTGGAAGAGCTGAGCACTGCCTGCTCTTCTCTGCTACTACGAGGCAATGTTGGTCAAGGTAAACTTGAGACTGGCCCAGGAGAGGATGTTAACGAACAAAGAATGAAAAGGGCATGACAAGTAGATGAGTTTAAGATTTGGATCAACTTGGGACCAACCATTATGGCTGCTGACATTGCTTAAGCTGGATGGAGATGGAGCATCTAGTCTAAGTATATAATACAAGATATATTTTTATGATGTAATGTATAAAATCTTGCCATTTTTTGGTTGTGTAGTTCTTTCATTAGGATTTTTTTTTTCTTGTTAATTATTATCTTTTCTCTTATTGCTGCAATCTTTCTTAGCCAACACTATATTTTACTACATTGTAAAGTTCACTGAGCTGTTAGAATAGAATGATGTAAACTTTAATTTGTTTAGAGCATCATCCTTGTACTCTTAATCCTTTAATCTGTCCAAAAAATATTCCAAAGATCCAATCTAGAAATTGGTGAGGGAAATTATAAAACCAAACTAAGCATATACCCCATTGTTCTAAAGTCTAAACCACCTTAACTCCCCCGAGAAATGTGTTCATCTTTAGAAAGAGCTACGTAGTTGAGAGGAATTATATTGCCAGCTTTGGCACTTTCTCTCCGTTCCTTTGCTGCAGATATTCCATGTCGACCTGATAGTGTTCCACGGCGATTAATAGGTGTCGGTGTCCCGAGTGCAGTGTTGCTTTGACCCAAAGGCTTCTTACTGCTGGACTTTGAACCATAAAGAGCCTCTTGTTCAGCAGCAAACTGTTCTTGAAGCCGTTTTTGTTCCTATAATATGTATGTTACTAACATAATCAGATAGATAGAGTAAGGTTTGGTTGGGTACTTCATCTCAGTCCTACGAGTGCCATGGAATTAAAACTAGTAGCGGTAATAAAAGCTAAATACCCGGTTTCTGCGCTTCTCCTCTTGTTTTTCCTGCCGCAACACTGTATACTCCTCCAGTGTACGCACTAAGGGGGCCTGCAAGCACAAAAGCTATTGTGGTTAAACTGCAACCACAACGGTTTGTGAATAGAAGAAGCATGGACTTGCCTTGTCATATAAAAATGGCATTCCATTCTCCACCTCCCAAGCTTTTATTTTCCCAATTAAGTTTTCTACAAGAGCTGCAATTGAAGTGTTGTACTTTTCAGATCATCAAAATTTTAAGTTTCAAAGCATTTTTAGACCACAGGAGATGAATAGTTAGAAGTTTACATGGTATCTTGGTGACCAGAACACGTGCTTTCTCTGCACGTTTCAGATTAATGTGTGCCCCTCTCCCAGCACTATATCGGTTTTCATCCTGCCAAGACAAAATATCCAGGTCATGATGATTATGTTAGGCTAAATTAGCCCAGACTGTTGATGGAATTCATTTTTGCATTACCCTTTCATATTCATCAAGCCAATTTTCCTCTTGAGATGCATGATTCCATTTCTCCAACTTATCCAATATATCTCTCCTGCTCAGAGCTTGCTCTTTGGCTTTAGCAATCTGTTGATCCATGCTTGAAAGAAGGTCAGCTAGATTACCTATCAAAAGAAACAAACAGATAGTGATCATTAGTAATGTGCAATTTCTGCAGGGAACTCTGATTTTGAAACCACCAAAATTGATGGTTTCTTGATTAAACAGGATTTTCAATTCAATAGACCTAATCAAAGGATACAACAGGTATTCCACTGGAATTAACTTGATAATATCTTCTGCCTCTTCTTTACATGTCAATTTTAAGAATAAAGCTCCAAACTAATATTTGAAGCTAAGATATACCTTATTAATCAAACACAAAATCAGTACACTCACCTTATTGGTGTATACCAAAAAGGTGTGATATTCACAAACTTCAAAATGCAATATATGAAAAAAGGTAGAAAAAACATTAAATATTTGTTAAATTTGAACATACCAGATTCCACAAGTCTCATTAATATTTGGCGTGATGTCTCACTGTCTATATCCATGTGAGCACTCCTGTAGATTTCCTCAAGTTCATTTTGCCTCTTAAAAATCAGTTCTTTCAATTTACTAGATTTTAGAGCATTTAAACGCTCAACTTCAACTTCAGTCTAAAACAACAGAAAAGAATCTTAGTGAGGGGAAAAAAAAAAAAGCATCCATTCAGCAAAGCGATGAATAGTAGCACACACCAATATGTGCCAAAAGAGAATAGAAAGAACTGAATTACCAGCTCAATGACTTCAATAGCAAGAGATCCTTGACTCAACACCTCATCTACAGAAGAAGAAATCAAGCAAATGACATGGTCAAATCTCTGTTGCTCCTTAATTGGTGTGTCCATAAGGTTCCATAGCTCTTTTAGAGTCCTACCAAGATCTTGAAGCTGCATTAAGACATAATATTGTGAATAAGTGAATATTCTACAATATGCACAACTTCAGTAAAGTCAATGACTATGCATAACATCATATATGTCAGTTATACAGCAGCTGATATAACATTCACTAGCTGTGTTACTTATGTCACACTTATTCATGGTTTAGTTGAACAAAATACACAAAGGGCACAACATTAAGAAACTACAGTCTTTCATTTGGTCATAAAAATTTCAAAGACTGATTCTGGGGAATTTTACATCAATTCATTTGTTTGCAAATTGAATATGAAGCAAAAATAAAGCAAGACAAATGCAATAGATATCCATGCATTAAATAACAAAAAAGTGGTTAAATATTATTATTGCTTTACCCATAATAGATCTTTAATATGGAACAGAGAAGAATATTTGATTAGTATATCACCTTCTGCAACCTTTGTTTTTTCATTTCCTTTAGTGAACTGACTTCACTGGTTAATCTGGCAAGCGTTTCATTGCTTATGCTCTTTGGTTGAGCATTTAGATCATCATGTAAACTTGGATGAATATCACTTAATATGGCCACAAATTCAACTGACATGACAACTGAAAGATCATGAATTGCACTTATGTAGCCAATAACTTTTTGCAAACGAAGCCTCTGCAAAAGGAGCACAAAAATTTTACAGAAATGAATAACCATCCAGACCTTACTATCTAATTGTAAAATGTAGCCATCAATAACCTTTTCAGACTGAAGATCCTGAAGGCGCAACTTTAGTTCTAGCCCTTTCTTGGTTGTCAAGTCTAGTTCATTAACTTGAATCTTAGCAGGTCTAAGAGCTTGGTCATTTCCAGCTATCTCTGCACAAATCTGTGCAATCTGCATTTCTGTGTCCAAAAATTCTTTCATCCTTTCTTGCTTCTTTGACCTCATGTTCTCTAATACAGGTTGTATGTTGGAAATTTTCTCCTTTATGTTGCCCTTATCCTCATACTGAGAAGGAATAGAATCAATAAATGAACAATGCAATGGCTAGTGACAATAAAGCAAAAGCTTACTCACCCTTGGAACTTGTTCTCCAAGAGCAGAAGCTATTTTAGCAATTTCAGCCTCAGACTCGGCTAATGACTGGTGCAAGTCAGCCTTATACTTCCTAGTTTTCTCCACTTTAGTTCGGTAAATGTCAAGGCATTCCTGTTCAAGCTGAAGAAGCATCTTGTCTCTCTCACTTTCATTCTCCCCAATTTCATCCCATATTTCCTGAAAAGGAAAAAATCATTCATATAATTCTCTGAGCATGACACCAATGATCTGAAGGAAGTTTATTATCCAAAATCACATCACACTAATGACTAACCTATTAAGAAGGTTCAAATTTCACCATTGGTTTCCTTACCTTCCTATACCAAATGTATGGGATAATAGACCAAAGTATTTAAAGTTCATGGACAAGGAAAAAAGCCTAGATATCCAATTTAAACAATAAAATTGAATGAGAAGATTGTCCCCCATAGAAATGCCTAACAAATTAATACAAATAGAACTAAATATCAATGTCAATGGCTAGAACAATAAGCAAATGTAAGATAATTGCATGTCATATCCTGTTAAAAATACTGAAAATAAAATTGGAGTTGGATTAAATAATAAACCAACCAACATAATTATGAAATGCTCTTTTGGTATTGGCAACTGCAAATGTGAGTGAAACAAGCTCCATAGCCACTTTGTATTAGCAAAATTCAAATGTAAATGGAGGATAATCTCAATGGAAGTCATGCCACAATACAAGAAATGCTTTTATGAACTAGAACAAATAAAAGGCACTCCTGCTAAGCGGTAACATGGATCGAATCAGTTGTAGTGCAAGTGCAGATGCGGCATCTTATATGAAAGAGAAAGAAGAAACCATTCACACAACTCAGTACAAGGCATGGAATGACAACAGTAATTGGTGCCCTACCACCAGAGTATAGTGCAATCAGTGAACCAAAATTAATGGCAAGAATGAATTTTTGTGTCATTTTTCCTCCACAAACATGCTCATGAGTTGTGAATCGTGATCCTTACATAGAAGCAAAACGCATGACTAACACAACAGCCTAAAAGTATTAGTATAATAAGTTGAGTACTGTGTAGGAAACTTGCAAACAAATTTTGCCGGCACTATTTTCTTACGGAGTATCATTCATATCATATAACATGGAGTGCACATATGACGTATGAAATAGTAAACTTCTGTTGGCAATTATTTCAGACCTGTAGCCCAATCCATCCACCAGAAAAGCAGCTAAACAATTAATCAGCTAAAATAGCGGAGGGAAATAAAGAAAAATTAGCATTCAATGTTTTCCATTGATGAGAATTGGGCGATAGCCAAATTTTCATATTAAAATTTCTAATAAAAACAATTATAGTTTATCCCCTATTCCCCTACCGCTGAAACAGAACCCTACTGAATTCTTATGCACGAAGATTGGATTCGGAGCCAGAAATGAGAAATCAACAGATAAAGACGATTGAATTTAGAAGATCGAGAGTGAAGTCATTAGTTACACGCCTGCAATTCTCGGAGAAGAGAGCCGCAAGTTGTGGTAGCAGGAGCGGTACGCAGTGAATGCTGAGAGGAGGAGTTAGTTGCGCCGGCAATCGCCGTCGACACGGACCTCATGCCGCCGCCGATGATCCGAGGAGGAGGGGAGAAAAACGAAGTCGGCAATAATTCCCCGCCGGCACCAAACAAAAACCGTCGAAATTAGCGGAGGCGATGCCGGACCGGAGCACAGCGGAGCGTGATTGAGTGAGGAGCGTCTGTCTTTAATTCGACTGGAGATTCTGCGGATATTTCGACCTTTAATATTTTTTTCCATTTATGAAATTCGATACTACTTTTGGCGGGAACTCTCGTATTACGAGTCTAAGACCCTCAGTTGGTTCAATTAAAAGTGGAGGGAAAAAATAAGAAGGAAAAATGGAATTAATATACTAGTATAGAATGTACTTTATATCATCATATATAATTATATACTATACATAATTGATCTTAGTTATTATTGGTTATGATTTCTAATGATATTCTGTGCAATTATGATTGCAGTGCATAATTGTATGAGAATGATTGATATTAAAACATCCTTATTAGCTATGCATTTTACACGCTTTTTGAACGCTCAATTGGGCGCGGCCTCTGCACGCCACGGATAGAGATGCGCTTCTCCTTTCTCTTTTCTCTCCCTTGGCATGCCTCACAAAACACCATTTTTGCAGAAGAACAAACCATGAAAAAATCACACTCCACATTAGTAAAAAAACAACACACTTAGGGTGTGTTTGGTTCGCACATATGAATCGGAATGGGTATCAAATACTTGATAATGGTAATGGGTTTTGGTGAAAGTATTTAACATGTTTGGTAGTAGGGTAGAATGAGAATGGTTACTAATAATAGTGCTTGAAAATGAACAAGAGAATGAAACCCTTATTTTATTATTTGGGTATGGATTTTTCAATTGATGGGATATTCAAAAATCAAAACCCATAGTAGTGTTCTAAAAACCTATCAACCAAACAACAACAATCACTTTCATACACATTCCTATGAGCTAAACCCACCAACCAAACACACCCTTATTTTTTACTGTTTCAGAAATCATGAAAGATTCTTTACTGGGGGTACTCACGGATTGATACCTTAAAATATAATATAACACAAAATGTATACAATTAAAAAATACATTTATTTAAATCTTTCTGATTGATGTTTTATCATATACAAATTATCGATTATTTTTGTTAATAATATGGAGTATTTTTTTTTTTGATAATTAACTTATATTTATTTTATTGAATAACAAAAAAAAAAAAAAATCCAAAATGAGGGAGGAAGACAAAAACTAAAATAATGAATTAAAAATCAATGTTAAGTTTTTCAATTTAAAAACTCCAGTAATTCTTTAAACTAACAAATATACATCATAAAAATATAAATAACTAATAAAAACATATAATAAGTTACTAATTAATTAATCACTAGTAAAGAACCCTCTACATTTGAGGATTTAGGTTGATAGTGAAATAACTAGTGATAAACGAAGGACTAAGGGCATCCTCTCTTCTCTCTCTTTCAACAAAGCATTGTAACATCAAAACCTGTGCAAAATCCTCTTAATAGGGTTGCTCTAAAGGGGCTGACTGAGGCTCAAAAACTTTTTATATTAGTATGTGTATTCACAATTTTTGCACATACATGTAATTATATGGTGTGTGTGTGTATATATATATATATATATATATATATATATATATATATATATATATATATATATATATATATATATATATATATATATATATATATATATATATATATATATATATATATATATAATTGCACTCAGGTGCGAATGCTTCCTCCAGGAGCGAAATAGGAATGGATTCTGTCCGTCAACGTGTCCAGATCTAATGGATGAGAAACACTGATTTTTTTAAAAAATCGCGGTGGCATTTTCGTAAATAATTGAACATCGAAGTGCAAGTAAAATGTATTACAAGTGCATGTCAAATGTATTATAGGTGCAAGTAAAAATTTACACCGAGTATCAATACTAAGTGCACTTATAGTTATAAGTAGTTGCACCTATAGTTCTAAGTAGTTGCACAAATAGTTATAAGTAGTTGCACCTAGGTGCATGAATGTTTGCGGGTGGTTTTCAAGGGTATTACGACTCGCTGAACTCAGATCAATGAATGTTAACAAGGCAAAATTACATGCACTCATAGGTGAAAGTAGGTGCACATATAGTTATAAGTAATTGCACCAATAGTTATAAATAGTTGCACCTATAGTTATAAGCACACCCAAGTGCATGAATGTTTGCGGGAAGTGAATGCTAACAAGACAAAATTACATGCACTTATAGGTGAAAGTAGGTTCCCTTGTAAGTGATTTTACTTGCACTTCGATGTTCAATTATTTACGAAAATGCCATCGCGTTTTTTTTTAAGCTATTAGATCTGGACACGTGTCGCGCGCTGATTCGTTCGCATATTCCTTCTTGGGCACTTATTCGCACCTGAGTGCATCCCTATATATATATATATATATAACCAAGGATCTTGTAGTCCAATGATACCATGTTGCTCCCTTATGTGAGAGGTGATAGGTTTGAGCTTTAGTGGAGGCATTTGATGTAATTGGGTATCCCTTCTTATAAATAAAATATATATATTGATTCAAACTTTTGATAGTGTAAAATTTTGTATTAATTATGTAATTCAAAATTTGATGTCCTAACGTCTCATGCATATGTCCAAATAAAACATCTCAATTACTAACCCCATAATAAAAAGAAAAAAGAGAAAACATAACTATTCAAATATCATAGCCTTAGTGATTCAGTCTCTCAACGCATGATTTAGAAAATTCAAAAACTTTAAAAGTGACAACAAATCTTTGTGAAGATTAGTAATGAAAATAGTTAGCTTTATTATGGAAACAGTGACTTTAACCCCTCACTAATAGAACCATGATAAGATAATACAAAATTTTTGAAAATCTAATTTGACAAGGTTAATCTCATGAAATATCATATGCATATCTTCTTCGTAATAAAAACCTCAAAATGACAAGAAATCCACACTTGTAATCACAAGGTCACGAGTTTGAATCCTTACCCCCTTGATTCGAGTCAATCAATTATGGATAACTTAGGCTGGTTTACTTCTTTGTAATACTTTGCCGGGTAAGATAAAAAGGCGGGATTTACCTACACCCGAAAAGGTTGTGCAATTTCCCTCGTCATCCCAAAAAAAAGCCCCAACGTTAGCTTCTTCAACCTATGAATTCATTTCTTTTGCTCTCATTTCCAACCATGTATTCAATACTCGTATTAGGGTCTAAATTCACTGTTTGGGTAGGGGTGTATGGCGGAAAAAAATTTGCTTGTAAATGGCTTTACTTCTTTGCAAGCACTTGGAAATGCTATTCTTGAGAATGATTAGGATATACATACATCGAGTCCATCTTACACTAGTTTGTATTAGGCATTTCATATATCAAGAGTCATCATAAATGTTAACATAAATAATCTTAAATCTACAATCTACATTCTCCTCATATGTCAGAACGAAGTTCTATCATAAAAGTACAACACTTCAATCTCATTCATAGGTCTGTTCAGCGTTTGAATGCAATAATCACATATGGAGCATGAGAAGAGTAACAAAACTGCTTCAAAAGCGACAGACAAGATTGAGAATTAATTAGGCCGCGTAATGGGCATGAATATCATGATCAGCCTTCTCTTACCCAGAGGGCGTGGTTTGATCTGAATCTCTTTGAAGAGAGCAAGTTCGGAAGTTCCATGACACAAGAAAATCAATTACAAATCGAGATACAGCTTCTACCTCTGCCTGTAGTAATCAGCCAACTGCATCTAAATCAGCGTCAGCGTCACCAGTTTCTCCATCGATGGTTCCTGCTTCTGCTTCTGCCTCTGCTTCTGCTTCTGCTTCTACATCTGCTTCAATCTGCTGTGTTTCTGCATCAGCTTCTATCTGCCCTGCTTCCTGACCAACATCTGTGTCAGAACTTTGCTTCTGATTTTCGTCTGGTGTTGGAGTTCCACTTTGAGAAATGTTCCCGGTAGCATCTGTGTCCATTGGAGTAGCAGAGGTTTCAAGGTCAGCCTTGCCGCCTTCGATGCATACCTCACTAGCAGGTGTTGCGACCTAGGCAAAATGACAATAATTAACGAGAATCATTTCGTATACCGTTGTGAAAAATAGAAAAGACTTATAAGTTGGGAAGACTGTCCTATTACATTATTGGCTAGAGGACACAACAAAGAGTTAACTACTACAGGCTTTTGAGGATGCAAAAGTGAAGGAAAATTAGTTGAGAGAAGTCAGCCTTGTACATTGGGGTCTGCCTAAATCTCATAAGGAATATTAACATGAATTTGGAAAATTTGGTCACCTGATTTTCTTCTGCTTGTTGCACTGAAGTTTTTGTTTCCTCCTTGGCACGCTTGGACCTATCACTTGGTTTACCTTGATATTTTGACCGCACCTCTGGAGGCAAAAGTTCCACAGGCACAACACCCTCAATACCATGTTCTGTAAACTGCAAAATAAGCAGAATTTGCTTCAGAAATCATGCACAAATATTCTCTCCCTCTATGTATATTTACTTCTCTGAGCAAAACTTCCATACTCGAGAAAATCCTTCCAAATCCTGTCTAGCAGAAAACCGGAGACCTTTCCAACAATAAACCTGTACCAAATGAGACAGTGAGATGTGAACCATTAGTTATTATTGTTTACTTTTTTATTATTAACTTTTGGTTGGTGAAATTTAGATCATTCTGTTACATTTCCCTCTCCCTCCTTCCCAGGGCAAGTGCAAACCTATGGCATTCTTTTTAGTTGCAAGAAATGCACCCAGAAAGTTGATAGGAAAAGATGAAACTGACCCGATTATTTTTGTGATGATATTCTGCTTCAATTCCAGCAGATTCGTCCATCTGTAATTTCACAAAGAATTTTTCAAGTACATGGAGTTAGAAATAGTAGGAAATAGTTTTGGTGGATGAAATTCAACTATGAAAATGTAAAAACTCAAATAGACAATATTATAATATTTCACTAAGTTGAAATTTGTCAAGAGGCATTGGTTGTTACTTACATCTTCAGCCAAGGGCTTCCAGTAGTCTGAGATAACAGGAGTGCGCACACGTTGAGGATCAGTTAAAGCATTCTGTGGGTGAAAAATTAGGTAAGATTTGGACCTATATAATATATAATATATAATATATTAATATTATAACCTATTGTCCCAGATGACAATGTTTTTCAAATTTATGATTGGCCTTTCTATTAAACTAAGGGTTTGAAGATCCAGCTGGTGACAAATAACCACAATCTGCTGAAGGGATGAATGCTTATATGTGAGGAAAAGTAAAGAGAGAAGATAGTAATGTTGAATATGATCTTGTAGTTCACATAATAGTACCTGTATATGTTTATATAGAAATGAAAACAACCATTGGTCTACCTTAACATTTACAATTAACATGGACAATAAATAGTTGAGAATCCCTAGGTAGTTCAATTCTCATACTAGCACAACCAGCATACATTTCGTACTATCAGCACTTGCTCGCATAGTTATAAGTCTTAAGAAATTGAATGTCTCCAGCAAAACGCTTGTAAATTAAACATTTGATAATTACTATCATTTCCCAGAGGTGTTGCAAGCAAATAAGAAGCTATTAAAAATAAATAAATAAATAAATAAATAAACAAACCGGATTCTGATCAGACCACTTCCATAGCTGAGAGAGTTCTTTATTTCCAAGCCTCCACCGTTGTCGACTGCAAGAATTAACAGAAAGAGGATGGCAAATATTAAATCTCATCAACTCGGAAGTATGATATAACATCTATCAGCTAATCTTACAGTAATCATAGGTTTTTGAACAATAAGAAAGGGTGTAGCCCAACTACCAAGAAAGAAAGCAAAAACCTTGAGGTTCAACACCCTGATATTTTCGTAGTGTCATTATATGATGTTTGCCGAGTATTCTCAATTATGTGCCAATGGCATATTGTTATTGTGTATTTGCATAAACTTTTTGCCCCAAGTACATTTATTAGGCATCCAAGTAATTTTCCTTTTCATCCTCTAGAATTGCTATTTTCACCAAGTCTTATCCTAGTTGGTTTCTCCAGCTATTCTCTTGCAAACAAGTTAGAATAATCAAGTTCAACATAGCATACCGTTTCTTTTGTCCACCTTGAGCTAGCTTCTTTTCAATCTGTTGTTTTTCAAATGGAGGGCAACCATCACGTTTCCACCAAACCTAAAATATCTCCAGTGTCAATACAGAATAAAAGGTAGACAAAAGCTAGAAATATACAGGCAGCATCAGGCAGATATACATGGAACAAGATATATGTATGCAGCAGAGAGATCATTTGGCGCGCACCCAATTCCTTTCACGCTGTAATATATGCTCAATAGACCGGAGAAATTCTTTTCCTTTAGGTGGAGTAATTTCAAGTAGCTTTTTCACCCGCTCTTCACAAGTCTTTATTTCTTCCTTCTACATTGGTCGAGCATAAAAAGTACACATAAGAAAGATGGATACTTGATTAAACAAGCTCATGCTCAACCACACAACCTCTAAGCAAACAAATAAATTCAGAATGTCTTTTCCTGGAACAACAAATTAAACCCACTTGCACCGTCCTTCACAGTACAAGAATGCATGGTACAGTTCACTATATACATAAGAAACTGCATAAGAATACTGTAAGGGGATTTCAAAATATTTATATGGAATACGATCATAATCTCCAATATATCAATCTATATCAGGGGGTCTCCTTGCATTTTAACCATATTGCTATCATGAGTCATGACAGCCCCAGGGTAAGGCAACAGAGAGCGGAAAGAACAATTACTTAAACATAAAAAATTTATTTGGAAAGGTATCAGGCTGCAATGTGATGTTGGTACCAACCATGGCTTCAGATGGCAATTCTTTATCACTTTTTCCTGGGGCCTACAAGGTAAGAGAAAAATACATGTAAGGGAATATCTTTAGAAAGCTAAACAGGTATGACTTCCTGTTGAAGACTCAGTAACTTGTTAGAAATAGAGGCATCATGATATCAACTTTGAAATAGAATGTCAATGGAGCTTGCATGTGTACATATTCTGGAGAAAGTAGCACACTTAATAGTTAATACTCTGTATTAGAATGTATCACCAGTATGATTTTCGGAAGTCTAGAAAGTAATCATCCATAGACAATTCTGTATACTGTCACACTTCTGATTTTTGAAGAAAATAATTAACTACTTATTTTTCTAGTTACAAATTGTTTGTCTCTAGATCTTAGTTTACTTCTTCACCAAATGTCAGTATAGCTTCATACAAGGGTGTGTTGAAGTGTTAAACCATATGCACACATACACAATGTTTTCCATAGAAAAGAGAATGAAACAAAATTATGTACAAATCTTGAAAAATGAGAAACTTATACAAATGAAAATGAAGCAACACAAGATGAAATGCAGTTGATACCTTGAGATAATCAAATAAAATGAGGCACTGAACCAGAATGTGACGTCGGAAACTGGGATCCTTCAACTGTGAAACAAAAGAAATTAGTAAGAAATGGATGTCATTGAAGTTCAAAATTGCTAGTTTTATAGAAATTTTATGGCAAAGCAATGATTCACACCTCAAGCCCCATTAATTTACTGCTTGTAAGATATTTTATGTTGAATGCAGCTGCCTCATCCTCAAGGTAATTTGCATTGCCCTCTTCATCACTTATAGGCTGAGCCTCAAATGTATTTAGAACCACCTGAATATCCCAATTTACAGAAATTGCATAAACATCAAGACACACGAAAAAGCCACATTTAAAATTTAGAAACAGGGCCAATACCATTAAACTAGAAGTAAATTTATGCCACTTGGCAGGGGCAAGAGATAGAGACGGTGGGTTGCAAAAGCACTCCTGAGTACCAAAAGCAACAGAGAAACAAAATAAATATACATCAGATATAAACCTAAAAAGGTAAATCATGCAACATGAAGAAAACATTGTAAGATCTACTAACATCCAGTGGCATCTTGAAAATTTTCCAGCAGAAACATATATAGAATGCTCTAAGTAAGTCCAGATAACATTATGGAGTAAAATTATTCACTCAGGTCAAAGAAGAAAGATTCTTACCTGTAAACTCCAAAAGGTTTTGTAGAAGTTGAAATCAATTGAAATACCTAGAAATCAAACAAAACAAATAAAACTATAAGCATAGGGACCTTACAAACTAATAACCAATCTAACAAGTTCAGCATTTACCTTCAGGAGCTTCCTTCTCATACTTTGTCTCATTTGATGTATTGAATACTCCCTTTATATTAACAGCTGAAACAGTTGACAGAAGGTAGCACAGTTAGAAACGACAAGTTTTGCCAGAGCGTTCAGATAGTACCAGAGCGTGCAGTATCACAAACAAGTACCGGAGCGTTCAGATAGTGGAAAAAAGTGAGCAAGAAACATGATGATTCTTCCACAGAACACAACATCATTTGCCTACAATACCAGATGCAAAGGGTTTTCTTTTATGAGACACCATGGGTAAATAATTAAGCAATAATTGGAACTGGACATACACTGTACAATAAAGATTAAGCAGTCTACCTTTGACAGCCGACGAAGAAGTTGATTGCATGTCCTTAACATCACAAGTTTTCCTCGTGCAAATAGTTCTGCCTAAATATTATAAGAAAAGCATCAAAACCATTTTAGAACAGATGGCATGCATCTGCATGTACATACATAGACAAGTGCACACCGTTTAAGTGTCAAAAATATAGAGGAATGGAAAAATCAAACATTACATACCTTCCCCAATATATCTTGTTTACTTTCAATGTACCCAAATATATCTTCACAATTTTTCATGGTGGACATTTCTGTCAAATCTTCTAAAAGCTGAAATATCATGCCACCTTCAATATGTTCTTTCTCACAAAGATATAGTACAATGTCTGTCCAGGAAAATGCAAGAGTAGTCAATTATACACAAGTTTGTGATACTGCAAATAAAATAGGGGCATGTTGTTAATAAAAAGACTAGTATTAGTTGTCTGCCAGTGCTTGTTTAGCCAAGTAGATGACTTTTCCATAAATCCTCAATTTCGAACTTCTCAAAAAATAGGTTTTTTCTTCTTATCTGCCCTTAAAAACTATTTTTGGTATTTTGACCATTTGGCCTAGCTTACTAAATGAGCTGGGCCAAAGAAGCACTATAAAGCTAGTGGTTGTGGTTTTGTGGTTGCAATTGCCTTAGGGGTTGAGAGTGAGGGAGGAGGGGATTGGTTGTGAGCCATCATGACTAGAAAAAGTATGTATCTTACCAAGAAGTCGTGGAATTTGACCCTGACTGCTTTCACCATCATCAATTGACTGCCCATACTGCATGATTTTCTGCCCTGCCTGAACAGCAGCAGACTGCATCAAGATATAATTTGTGTTATTAATAAGAACAACTAACCAATTAAGTAATCAGTAAAACAGTTCACCAATATTAGTACAGAAAGTGTTGTGTACAACAAAAATTCAGGATGAGTTTTGTACAACCAATCCTTAAACTCCTAGCAATTGATAGAGATTGTTGAAAATTACCTAAGCAATTTTATAACTACATATGATGTGAGATTTGAAGTTCCTACAGCTTTTTCATTTTTATTTTTTATTTTTAAAGATAAAATCACTTATTTCTTAGGAAATGTAGTACTATATGGCTAGTTTATGTTTCGTAAGGAAACTGGAACTTGATCTGTTTTGCTAAAATACAAAATCCAAATAGCAGCATTGGCAATGGCATAAAAATCACTTACCACCAATTCTTGGAGTAGAGATCTCAAAATATTCTCCAGTAGCTGATTCTCATCCTGGACTAATTTGGTTTGCCTCTATCAGGTGGCAAAAGGAAAGGAAATTAATCAATAGACCTATAGAGCAAAATCTTCCAATGGTAACATAATGCACACAAGACAAAGGAGGAAAATTTTCTATCACATTCCTATGCATATATTCTTGTGGTAAGTAGGCTTAATGTAAACAATATAACTTCACCGAGAGATCAAATGTAATCATAGTCTTACAGACTATTGATTTCACTTTGGTGCACATCAACCCTCAAATCAAGAACATAAAAAATTATGAATGCTGGAAATAATCATACCATACTATCAAAATCGAAAAGTACTTGTATACGCAGAAATTCATAGCAAACCATGCTTTTAGAACTGCATAATCAAACTTCAACTAGCACTATAAGTTATTCATATGAGGAAATTCAATGCATAATCAACTAAATCAAGCTTCACCTATAAGAGTATAAGTAATTCATATATGAGGAAATTATTAGCGAACTATGCTTTTAGAACAGCATAATCAATCATCAACTAGCACTATAAGTCCATATGAGGAAATTCATAGCAAATTATGCCTTTAGAACTGCATAATCAAACTTCAACTAGCACTATAAGATACTTGCATTCTAGAAACAGTGAGCACTTCAGCGTGCATAGGACTAGCAAGCTATAACCTTAAACGTTTCATCTCTAGATATTCACTTCAGCTGAAAATGTCACGGAGCATATGAAGCATTGGCAGGCAAAATTTACAGACCTGAGGTTTGATAGCTTCTTGCACAGTCTGGAGAGCGAATTCTTCGGGGAGTCCCGGGTGAAGAATAGCCTTCCTAAATAAATCCTGCGGAAAAAAAAAATAGAAAATGAGTTATTGATTCACGCAACACTAACAGGCAATTGAACATAAAGCCAGAATAAGAAAATCATATTTGTGAATCGTGGTGCGCTAAAAGACAGAGAGCGGGGGACACTTGCAATTGCCCAAATTTCAACATCTCGAAGAACAATTTGGAAAGGCTAACCGTCGCATCCAATGCATCGCTTACCATGCTTGAGAAGAGCTTCTGATTTGAGAGCGGAGAACAGAGACGAGAGCTCGCCGACAGGCCTCTGCTGAATTCGCCCTTCTTTCGTTATAGGCCAGCACTCAGTATTCTACGGCAGTACGGCGCGCTTAGCAGTTTCCATTTTTACTTGGGGCATTTGGTTCAAACGTATGAATAGAAATTGGAATAAAGTTTTAAGAAAAATTAGTTAAATTGGCTCCCAAGTTAAACGTGTGCATTTGAGTTCCCTAAGAGCATTTTCAAGCCGCTCAACATTAAAACATCAAATTTTTACACTAAATATCATATTAAAATGAATATTCTTAACATATTCTCACGCCAAATTTTATACATCTTTAACCTATTTGCACCAAAATATCAAATTTATACACTAAAATAATTTAATTTCTCAATTATTAGTTCGAGTTTAATTAGTTTAATATAATTTAGTTCCAACTTAATTAGTTTAATAAAAATAGAACTTGAAATGTCAATAATAATTTTTATTAACATTAATTTTTTTTATGACATTAATTATTTAAAAAATTGAATTTAATAATATTTTTAAAAATTTAGTTTATTCCACAATAATAATATAACACAAAACATTTAGTACATTTAATTACATTTGATGTATTTGAAATTTTAATTAATATATATTTAATATTAGTCTTGTTTTGATAATCTCAATGAGATCTTTAAAATAGCATAATTTATATTTAATAATACAAACATTAAATATAAGTATTTAACAAAATAAAAAATACATATAAAACAATTAAATGATACATTTGAAATTATAAAAAAGAAACAATGGCAAAAATGTCAATTTGTCGCAAAGAAACACATGTTGGAGCTCCAAAAAAAATGATGGGATGGCATAATGGTGTGGATTTTTACCGATTTAGTGCCCCTTGGAGATGCTCTAAGTAAACAAGTTTTATTCAAATCTCCTAACCTGGTTAAAATGTTCGATTGAGTTTAAAACTTACATGATTAGCAAATTAGAGTTTCTCAAGCGGGCATGTGTCTCTTTTTAAAAATTTTATTCTTTTAATGACTTTTTTTTTTTACTTTGCATTTAAAAAAAAAAAAACTTTTTATTTTCTTATTTTATTTTTATAATAATACAGCCACAGAACGTTGCCATGGCTATCTAACATGAGTTTCACTAACTCTGATAGACACTATCGGATCTCCATCTTAGAAATAACCAAGTTCCGGGCCTTTTATCACGAATTTAACAAGCTTATTCTCGCTCTAATATATTTCTCATCGTACTAGTTACTAGTTAAGGAGAAGTGGTTGAAGAGAATAGAATTTTATCACACAACCATCACAAAACGCAAAGTAAATCAACATTTGAGAACACTATAAAAAATTCAATATGCTCTATAGTATTCTGAGTATATTATTACTTTTTGTGTCATTGTACCGTTCGAGACTCCGAGTTTTATCTTCCTTCTCTCTCGTTAAACTCAAGCTTTACTATAATACTCATTTTGATTCGTTTTTGGTTGTTGTTTTTATGTCACCATTCATGAGCCATCGCTTGTGTGTGAGAGTGAATAACCTTAATCTGTAAGGAAAAGTATAAAGAAAGGGGGAAATTGATTTCTTTGTTTCATTTGAAGACTGTTGAAAGCTGGGCCCATTAAGTTAATACTCTTTTCGTCCCTAATTGAGTGTCTCATTTACTTTTTATACGATTTTTAACACAATATAAAAAATGTTACTAATTTTTCAATTTTGTCCCTAAAAAATAGATGTTATTTGTACAAAGTACAATTGTACTTACCTCTAGAAATTTGAAAAGTCAAAAAGGTAAATTGAAAAATGTAGAGTGATAGTTATGTTCAATTTTAAAAAGATGACACTATTTTGGGACAAACTAAAAAGAAAAGTAAGACATGTAAAATGGGACGGAAGGAGTAGTTTATTCCTGTATAAGTAGTATATATACAATTCTAGATAGAGAATAGAGTTAATACCATATGAAGTCATCCGAGTATAGTGGTCTTGCCACGTTTAATCCTAAACTTTCAAATTGACCATCTGTGGTCATTCGACTTTTAAATTTAACCATTATTGGTCCAAGTTAACCACCCATGGTCCTTCAACTTTCGAAATTTAACCAGCCGCGGTCCTCTTGAAAGGACCATGGTTGGTTAAAATTTAATAGTTGAGTGACCATGGGTGGTTAACTTGGACCACGAATGGTTAAATTTGAAAGTCGAAGCACCATATATAATCAATTTGAAAGTTTAAGACTAAACGTGGCAAAACCACTATACTCGGAGGACCTCATATGGTATTAACTCATAGAAAATACAATGAATCATTTATTATTCACATAGTATCAGAACCTAAACCTTAAGTCCTTAATATGCAACTTGGCACCTCGGACTCCGCCATTTAGAGCTCGCATTTTTCATAGTCTGCAATGCAACACTTTCTTAAGTCTCATGTTCAATATGTAAACTTTTTGAAATACATTTTTGCTTGTAATCCTTCAATTCTGCTATGATACTTACCATCTAGTCAATGTTTGGATTAATAGGGTTAACCATTGACCATTTTTTCTTTTCCACACTGCTAGTAGGAATGGCAACGAGGCGGAGGCGGGGCCTGTCCCCGAAATATCACCCTATTCCCCGATCTCGTCCCGTCTCCGCAAAATTTTTTTAGGGACGGGAAATTCCCGCCTCGTTTTTTGAATAATGCCAATGAAAAAAAAAAAAGAAATTAATATTATCAAAAATTTATATTGTTAAGCTTTGAATCTTTAAACAAAGTCCAAATCCAAAATACATAGATTAATCAGAAAGTTGAACTTTGATGTGCTTGAAATCAAACTTAATCTAGAACTTAAGCTACTTCAATAAACAAGCATTCTACAATAGGAAGCATAAACTTAATTAATTATGAAGGTACAAATATGTCATTGAACTATCATTTTTATATCAAGTGGTTTGTGGTTCATTGGTACTTAATTGCTCCCTTAAGTGGGAGGTGTTAAGTTCAAATCTTACTTGAGGTAAGTAATGTGTATATGTAGGGTATCCTCCTTCCTCATAATAAAAAAAAACTATCATTTTTGCCATTTAACATTTTAGACTATTATTTTTGAACACTTTTTGTCATGAACTTTTAGTCCTTTTCATGACATTTCATATTTTTAGTAAGGACATTTTTGTCTTTTCATATTTTTTCCTTTGTTATTTTTTCGGTTTCAACAGGTTTAATCGGATTATAACTTGTAACCTCTGATTTTTAGTAACCATATTGGTAGGGAATACCCCGACCGACATGCCTTCGTCCTTTTGTTCTTATTTGTGCAGGTTACAGGTCGTTTTCTTAGAAGAACCCGGTCGGTTCCCGACCGGGTAGCACCCGACCGGAGTTGTCGACCACCGATCGGTAGCCCTTAGGCGAGAGAGCTGAGAAGAGACACATGGCAACGCTACATGCTGACAGGCAGGGCACCCGGGAGGGCGACACGTGGTTGCTACGTGGGCGACATGCCGGACTTGTGTCTCCGGCTTCGCAGCTATAAATACTCGCGATAGCAACAGTGTGGGGGACTTTTGGACGATCGATAGGTTGTTATTAGAGAATCTCGACCGCAGTCAGTCGGTACTTAGAGCAACCACTTAGATTGTACTTAGGGCCTTCACTTTGATCAATAAAAAACATTTAATTGCTTTAATTGGTTTTGTGTTTATTTAATTACCGCATTACGTGGCAATTAGTACTATCATTTTGGCGCCGTCCGTGGGGACCCGTGCACAAAAGCTAACGTCTTGACGAGCACCCGTCCTTTCCATCACCATGTATCCTTTTGCATACAACCTGTTCGGCGACGATCAAGCGGATGCGGCGAGCTCATCCGATCATCAGCCGACCCAGTATCAAGGTCAGACAGTTGACCTCAACCTCAACCTCTCGCCACCCCATCCAGCATCTCAGTATCCGCCCCCCCCCAACAGTCGGTTAATTACATCCAGCCGGGATATCCGACACCCGGTCTGCAGCAACCGGTATACCCAACACCCGGTCAGCAGCCCCAGTTCCCCGGGTAATACCCTTACCCGGTCCCGCCTCCTCCATACGGGTATTGGCCCGCCCAGCCCATGTATTATACACCACCAGTCGGCTACCCCCCATATACGCCTGCGTACACGGCTCCAGCCGCCGCCCCTCTAGTATACCCGACCGCTCAGGTTGAGCCGCAGCATCAGCCCACTTCCCGGGCTCGACGCTCAGCTCGTTCACGGTTGGGGTCGGTGGGTGCTGATGCGATAGAGGTAACACGGCAGGCCCCAGAAGCACAACCGGAGGTTCCGGCCCAAGCGGAGGACCCCGAAGAGATCAACCGGGCGGCGGCTTTTCAGCGCCTCCGACCGGCGATGCGACAACGCTTGGGACCACAAGACCCGAGCCGGCAAGCAGGAGACATACAGATGCAGGAGGCCTCATCCGGGCACAGCGGGTCGAGATCTCACCGTCGACGACGCGCTTGGGAGTCAGCCCAAGCCCAGACGGCCGAGCTCAACGAGACCCGAGGACTGCTCTATAACCTCCAGGCGGAATTCGCTCGATTTCGGAACGAGCATCCTGTGAGACCCCCGGTCGACCAGTCGTCCTTGTTGAGAACTCCTTTCACAGCGGAAATAATGGCCCAGCCATATCCGTTCGACCTAAAGGTCCCGGGGGAGAAGAGTTACGATGGCCGTACGGACCCTGAGGTCCATGTCAATGATTACTACGACAATATGATGATGAAGGGCGTGACAGACGCCGTAATGTGCAGGGCTTTTTACTCCACCCTCACTGGTCGGGCGGCGGAGTGGTTCCGAACGTTGCAGCTAGGGTCTATTGCCGATTTTAATACCCTGGCGATCAAGTTCGTGAGGAAGTTCATCCCCTCCAAGGTGGTGAGGAAGCCCTATATGTATCTGGAAAAGGCTAAGCAACTCGAAGGGGAGAGCTTGACTGATTTCCTTGTCAAGTGGAAGGCTGCGGTCAGGGAAGTAGAGCCGATGGACGATGCGACCGCCACCCACATGCTACACATTTCTCTCCGGGCCGGTTACCTCTACCAGGATTTCATCCTCCACCCCCCGGCCACGTATGAAGAGGCCCTTCGAAGGGTCACAGATTATGCCAACGCTGGC